CGAAATAGATAGTATATACTTCTAATACACGCAAAGATACAATTTAATAGAATGATTTGTATGTATATTTGTATATACCAAATATACAGTGGCTGGGTGTTCCCATATGGGTTAGCCCCAAAAAGCAAAAAACGATAAAAAAATCCTGAAAATATTTAAAATAGCAACAATACTTGTGGTATACCAGTACACTTTCAAGATTGGAACCAAAGTAAAATAGAAAAATAAAAAATTATTTCAAGTCATAAAATCAACGTATTTAAATTCCTTGCCTGCCTGCCGGTTTTTTTTTTTACTTACTACTCTATATCCGTGTACTATTTGCGTGTATGTTAATTATAATATCCTTTATTATGATATTTAATGTAAAATTAAAATATTCAATAATGAAAAATAAAAGTAAAATATTAAATTATTTAAAATCGATACATAAAAATGCGCTTTTCCAATATTTATACGAGTATTTGTATTGTACAGTTGAAATTTCAGTATAGTAGAATATTTGTGTGAGGTAAACTATAAATGTTTGAAATTTTCAGGAATAGAGGCGATCCTACCTACGAACTCAGTACTCAGTTGAGATGAGTAATGCTTGGAGCTAATAATTTTTTAATGATTCGGAATTATTATTTTCGGATTCAATTTTTAAATGATAATAAACAAAAAGTAAGAGTGAACAATGTAAAGGTTATAAAAAGAAGAAAATATAAATATATTCTTTTAAGAATTTGCAACTCCTAAAATTTGACTGCAATCAAAGTATTTTTTATATTGTTTTACAATACTTATGCATTACAAACAAAGAAAATCATATATGCAATGTCCAATATATCAAAATTCTACTGTATTTATACACATAAATAATCAGACTAATTTCACCTAAGAGTTAATACTTCTCTACTTCACACTCGGGAAGCTGCACATTACACTCTCTTTAATCCCATTTGCAATATGCGAGTGTGTTTTCTATTTTAAGTATTATACACACACATGTCTTGCCGATAACAATAAATAATAATAAAATATGACAAATAAAGTGTTTATAACAATTTTATTCCAAAATTAAGAAATTTCCCGAGATAATGAATGGAAAAAAAGAAAATTAATGGAAAAATTGAATGATCTTAAATTTTTACCTTAATTTTCTTATCTTTTTTTCGTTCTTAGGTTTTTTTATTTAAATAGAACAAAATAGAATTGTATATCAAACAGAAAGTTAAAATTTTTGCCCATAGATTTCGCTGTGAACCTCATCCTTTTTATTTAACTTAAATAGTGAGTAAAAAATCGTGAAGGTATTTTTCATACAAAATATGCACAACTCATTTCGAAAAAATGCAACGTTTGATGAAAAATATTTTAAATTTTTGATTTTCAATTACATAAATGAAAATGTTTTCTTTTAAACAAAAATAGTTTCTCTCACCAAGAAATGAAATCCTCCCACTCATATGAGGTGTCCTACTGAAATTGTGAAAAAAAAATATATTGAAATAATGGAACAACTTTTTTTTTGAATTTTTAAATTTTCACTTTGAATTTGTTGAGGAATGTACATATTTCGATGGTGACACCACACAAAACTGTACATAATAGTAAAGAATAAGATCGATTCAGTACCCCTAATTTTGTAACTCAATTTTCTCATATAATTTTACTACTATCTTTTATTAGAGAGTCATAAAATTTATAGTCTTTCTTTTTTCCGATGATAAAACAGGATACGTATGTATTATTCACTCGAATGTACCTATAGTAAAACACGTTTGTAACCCTTTACGTTATCATAATTTTCCAACATAAATAAAGATGTGCGGGCGCGAATTTAAAACGAAATTTTCCATTCTATTTTCGAGAAAAAAAACATACATACATTAATATTGCATAACTGATACACATACAAACGCGTAATTTTTTTTTATTTAATTTCTAAAATAACAAGAAAAAAATATCCGCTCTCTTCCACCCTAAAAAAAAAAGCATAACAACCTCAAAAGTTGGTACAAAAACAGAAAAAAAAATATAAAGCGAAACAAAAGAGACATTTTGTAACTTCCTTTTACCCCAGCCCACCACAATCAATTGGGGTAAGCAAAATTTCAATATAAAACAAAAATGTTTTTGTTTCTCATATCCTTTCTTTTTTCTCCTTTTTCCTCCTTTTTTTTCATGTTTATGTTCAAAATTTTTTTTTTTGGTTTTCCTCATATTTTTTTTTCTCGCAGTTTTTGTTTAATTTTTTCTTCCTATTTAATTTTTTTTCCATGTTTGTTTTTGTTATACTTATGTATTTTCTTTAACATAATTTTTCGCTATATAAAAATTATACACGCATACGTATATACTTATGTTACGTTAGTATAGAAAAAATATTATGAGAAAAAAGCCAATACCGCAGCAATAGCGGTTATTCGTAAGGAATTTTTTTTTTTATGTTTTCTTTTTTATTTCGGAGGAAAATTAAAATTTGTACATACTTTATACTAGTATATACGAATAAAATAAGAAATATATGTATGCTAAATAAAAATTCAAACAACAACGGCACTAACAATAATATTAGACCCAACCAACAACAAAACACACGAAAAATGATGATGACGTTGTTTTTCCTTGCAATTTTTATCCTAATTCTTTTTCTTTTTTTAATAAAATAACTCATACATTTTCCAAGTCCAATTTATAAATGTACAAAATTTCCTATACCCATTTGTATAAATAAAAATATTTTATAATAGGAATAAAAATAAAAATTATATTATGCATTTAACACTAATACTATTACAAAAACTACATATAAACAAGCCATTTATATATGTACACATATGAGCGTATACAAAAATTCTGTTAACCACAACGGTATGACGACGTAGGTTTGCTTTTTTTTCCCTCAAAAAAAAATTTCTGTGTTTTTTTTTGTTGTTGACGACGATGAATAAAAATACAAAACCATTTCGTGAACCCACAAAAAAACTTAAAAACAAGGATATTTTTTTCCCTTATATACACACACACTTAGTATTATATGCATGCTCTTGATACCCTCTACGTATATGTATATACGAGTAATATTATGAAAGACGAGAAACTCTGAGTGAGCAAATAATTTTATACGCGATTGTACTTCATAAATACGCGCTCCTATGTATACTTACTTACAAAATATGGTGTCTATATTTTATAGGAAAAAATTTCATTTTATTTTTTTTCTTTGCTCTATTCGTATACTCACTTATATTTCGAAGGACTCAAATACAAATACAATTTCCACGAAATAGCAACAACAACAACAAAATACAAAATGTAAAAATACAAAAAAAAACTCGTATTTTTTTTTTTTACAAAATAAAATAAAAATTCAAACAAACACAAAAAAAAAGGAAAATAGAACATAACAAAATAAACAAAATGCTGCTGCCTGCTTTTATAACTGTTTGGCATGTTTATAGGTTTTTCTACTTCTATTCTGGTTTTTACTGTATACCACAATCGAGTATGGACTGTATTGGGTTTTATATTGTGTGTACTTGCATTGCATTTAAAAATAATAAGTTGAAAAAAAAATTTTTGAGCGGCGAAACACATTACAAATTTCTCACGAGTGCAAAAATCAACGACAACATTCGACAATACAAAATTTGTTTATGCTTTCTCTTTCTTATTTTCTGTTTTTGTTGTTTCCATTCATAACGGACGGAACAGAGAAAAGTACGACAACACAACTCAAAGTTCTATTTTTGTTGTTTTTTTTTTTTTATATTTTCATGGAGTGTATTTTTTATTCTCAGAAATAGAGTAAAGTAAATGTACTCAATGTAATGTAATCAAGCAAGAAGGCAAGAAAATGAAAATAATGAAAACGACGATAAGAGGAAAAAAAAAACAAACGGTAGTAATAAGGAAATTCAGAGAAAATAAAATAAAAAAAAATATCGGGAGGGTTTTTTTTTTTCAACTTTTCTATTAATGGTTTTTTTTCTCTCTTTTTTCTTTTTTCATTTTGGTTTTTTTTTTCTTGTTGTACTTTATATGTTTGTGTTGGTATATTTAATGTAAATGTGTGTATATTATATTTTATATTTTTATATGGCAGTGATTTGACCGATGTCGAACCCTCTTTATAACTTTTAAAAGTAAAAAAATGAAAAAAAAAAAAAATTTTTTATTTTTTTCTTTTTTCTGTGTGTACTGAAAAGAAAAATGAAATAAAAGTGGTATATTTAAGTATGTGCATATGTAATTGTATAGTTATTGCGGTATACATACACACTTATATACACCATTGTAGATATTGACTCATCTACGTACGTACATATAAAAAGATATTTTGTTAAATTTTTTGTGGTTGGTGTATTTTTGAAAAAAAGAGGAAAAAAATTATACTTTTTTTTGTTATTTGGTTTTTTCTTTCTTCTCTTTTTATTTTTATTATTATTTTGAAGAGAAAAACTTCTGCGACATAACCAAGAAATGATCAGTTCTGTCTGAGACTTTGCGGGTTAAAAACATGCAAAAGTTAAAACAAATTTTTTTAAATATTTATTCCACGTGATCAAAAAAATTAATAAGAGAAAAAAAAATTTTGTTTTTGGTTTTTAGTTCAAACCACAAACGCAAATAAAAAAAAATATTTTGTATTTATTTTCAATAATTTTTGTATTTAAAAGGATATTTTATGAATTGGCAAAAAGATCTTTGATAAAAAAATCAAAATTAAAAAACAACTATTTTAACCAAAAATTATAATTAATTTTTAAAATTTGTAAAAGTGTGTTTCAATAATTTCGAAATTTAGAAAAAAATATAAAGAAAATTTAAGAAAATAAAGCTAAAAGAATGTAATCAGTGAATTTATGAGATTTTTTGTTTTGAAAATTAAATTTAAAAAATTGTGATTTGAAAATATTTGAAAAGAAAAACGTGTCCTCTGACAAAAATATTAAGAGTAATTAAATAATGGAATCAAATTTAAATAAAAAATTATAACTAAACAAGAAAGAAGTCAATTACAACAAAGAAAAAAATTCTTAATAAATTTTATAAAAATAATTAAAATTTAAAATTAAACTAAATTTTTTTTTCTAAACACAACTCATTGGATTATTTTAAAAAAAATTAAAAATCGAATAACAAAAAAATTACTTCTACACTGCAACCAAATATAAAAAATAAAAAGAACAAAATGCATTTACCAGGTCCAACATTAGTTGCAAATCCCCATCATCATCACCATCACCATAGCCATCATAATCATCATCATCCTAGTAATAATAATAACAATAATAATAATTCATCACCACGTAATAATCATAACAGTCATAATAATAATAATAATAATAATAATCAAAATTCACCATCATCAACTTCAACAAATAATAGTAATAGTAGTAGTGGTAATAATAATAATAACACAAATAATAATAACAATAATAATAGTAATAATAATTCATCATCAAATAACAATAATAATAATGGAAATAATAATAATAATAATAATGAATTACCACCATCAATGACTGATATGTTTGCTAGTTTACATGAAATGTTACAAGAATATCATGGTGAATTAGTACAAACTGGTTCACCATCAATATTATGTTCAGCTTTACCAAATCATTGGCGTAGTAATAAAAGTTTACCTGGTGCATTTAAAGTAATTGCCTTAGATGATGTACAAGATGGTACATTAGTTACAATTAAATGTGGTAATGATGAAAATTATTGTGGTGAATTACGTAATTGTACAGCTGTTATGAAAAATCAAGTTGCTAAATTTAATGATTTACGTTTTGTTGGTAGAAGTGGAAGAGGTAAATCATTTTCATTAACAATATCAATTGCATCATATCCAATGCAAATAGCAACATATACAAAAGCAATTAAAGTAACTGTTGATGGTCCAAGAGAACCAAGATCAAAACAAAGTAAGTATAATGATATTTTCATTTTATATAAAATAAGTTATTGAGTTGGTACTTATGAAAAATTTAAGTCCGTTTTTTTTAAATCAAACTTGTATTTGATTAGAAACGAAATGTTGAAATCACGCCTCTTATAAACGTATAAATGATGTTTATTTGGTATCAAAGCAAGTGCTATTAGTTAACTATTTTTAGAGATGTCAAAATTTCTTAAAACCAAAGTTATCGAAATATATAGTAGTAGAATTTAGAATGATTAATCTACTTATGTAGAATTTATAATGACAAGCTCTTGAAAAGAAGGGGTTCAAAAGTTGATTGAAAAATTTAGATTAAAATCGTTGTTCTCTGCACGAATCTCGGTAATATTCTTAATACCATAAAAAATACAGGGTATATGGTTTATTGGATTCTTTGAATAGGTTTTCAAAACTGTTTTGAAATTATAAATTAAGAAATTAAAAAAAAACAAAAATTTGATTTTTTTTTTGGGGCCATTTTCAAAAATCATAGTTTCGATTAGCACATCATACTATTTATTGAAACTTTAAAATAATTCGAAAGATTGAATCTGTTAATACAGCTAATAGATTAGAAAAACGAATATTTCGAGACAGAAGTCCAAAATTTTATGATTGAGGATTGTTCAACAGTTGAGTTAAAAATGAATGTACAATTCTCTGTAAAAAATAAATATTTAGTTATTATAGGTTAATTTTGAATATTGTATTCAAAAATTCAATTCTTAATTTGGCCTTTTTGGTAGTTCTAATATTTCAAGAGTTCTTGACCGTATACTTAATACAAAACACATACATACTTAATGATAATTTGAAAAAGGAAATGCGAAATTTCTGTTTACATACAACAAATAGAAAAAAAGAATAGAACCGAGTAAAAAAATTAAAGAATTGATTGCTTCATGAAATTGTTATAAAAATTTTACCTCTAAAAATATTTAACTTAAAACTATATAATGTAGAATTTTACTTTAACCTCAATTAGTAATGCAAAACTTGAAAAACTTCTTAATTTATATTGAAATTTTAAAAGTATTCATTTTTCTCTTCAATAAGGTTATGGATATCCACATCCAGGATCATTTAATCCATTCATGTTAAATCCAGCATGGTTAGATGCAGCTTATATGACATATGGTTATGCTGATTATTTTAGACATCAAGCAGCAGCAGTAGTTCATCATCCTGTTTTATCAAAAGGTAAGTTAATCCTAACATTGTTAATTTACAAAGCTACTTAAAACTCTGAGGCATTAAAAGTTAGATCTTAGAACAGAAATTAAATTCGTTTTTTAAATGCTCCGCACTTCAAATATTTTAAATAACAAAATTAAACTGTTATTATAGATTCAAAACCAAGCAAATTTTCTTCGGATTGCCGTCGGCTTTTGAAATTATTTAAATTAAAAATTTTCTTTGGATGTCTTAATTATTCCATACCATTTTTAATAGTTTGAAATTCTTTTATTATTCTGCTTTTGTTAAGACATTTTTTGTTTATTGTGTTTTCTCATACAAAAAAAAAAAATAGAAATATGGAATCCTAACTAAGTATATGACTTTTATAATTAGGTTGATCGTAAAAACAAAAAATTAATTTTGTCATAAAAAATTTTTAATGACATTTTTTATAAGAAATATTGAATTTTTAAAATTGAATCTTTTACACCTTTAAATTCTCATATGGTCCATAGTTTAAAAAAAAAAAATTAATTTGATAATTCGAATAAAGTAGAACGAGATTATTAAATTTATGAAATACAGTTAAGTATTCGCAGTTCTTGTATGAATATAAAGTTACCAATTAGTTTTATGTCTTAACGCTATATAAGTATTTAATATTTATAATATTAAGAAATTTGTATGGGATAGGCGATTAGTAACCTCAAAATTCGTAGTGAAGTAAATTTTTTGCATATTAACCCATTAGAAACCAAGGTGTTTCTGTAAGCAATGTTTTAGTTTTTTTTTCAATAATTTGAAAAAATTTATTTATTTCTTTTTTTGTCCACAATGATCATCATTTTGAGATTATAGTCTTTAATGGGTTAATTCACTCCAAACTATTTCACTTACTCTCTTCGGTGGGATGAACATTATTTTCAATATTAAATTACTGCATATAACAATTAATTATATGATTAACATGCATATAAAAATTTTTTTCGACTCCATGTAATGAATGGTGAATTAAAGGGTTAGAAAACGAAAAATTTATTTCTTAATTATTTTCTTCATATTTTCAAATGATAACTTTTTTTCCACACAAAATATCGACTTGAAATTTGCATTTTCAAACAATTATCAAATTTAATTTGCTAAAATTTCTCAGCGCAATAGCGTGAGATTTTTAATTCTCAACATTCAAATTTCAATAAAAAATCACGAAACTATATTTTGTACTTCGTGCGAATTCCAAAAAATTCAATATTAGATTAATTAGAATATAAATTATATCTGGCCTAAATAAACTACAATAATTTTATTAATTATTTAAAGAAAAAAAATCGAAAATATTTTTTAATTGGACTCACATGCAATTCATTAGAGAAATTTGTATGTACACACGGTCTTTAAAATGGCAAATGATTTTAATCGTGTTAAATTATACTTTTTATAAATTTTCAATAAAAAAAATTTTGTATTATTATTAATGAAGATGTCGAATGAATGTCATTTTGTTTTTCTTTTTATTTGATACATGCGACAACAATACATAGATGATTATTACGACTAAAATGTGGAAAATCATAGATCCGGAACTACCATGCAATAAATTCCGGTTAAATTCAAATAGTACGTGTAATTCTGTTTCTCTTTTTTTTCGTTTTTGGTATTTTCTTTTTAATTTATTTCATTTTTTTCCCTATATTATCCTTTTGCATTATTTTCACGCACAAACACATACATGCATATACTAACAGAAATTCTCTGTGCGTGAAAAAAAAGGACAACAAAAATATTATATAGTTATAAAAAATGAACGGTTCGCAAGAGTAATTGGTATTGCATTGCCAGCTGATCAATAATACAAGGGTAGATTTCTCGATTATAATGAGATGACAAATATCAATAATATCGAAAAGGAATGAAATTTTCATTGGATATTCCAATTTTCTTGTTCTGAATTTAAAGAAATTTTAGAGCAAATTTTTTACGTAATTTTTGTCAGTTTTGTGCACATTTCGTAAAACAATGTTTGATTCGGTGTTATAAATATTGCAGAAAGAAATTGTAAATTGTAGTAATGCAATCAAAACATTCAAATTTTGACTAATAAGGCTTCGAGTTTACACAATTGAAATTCGAAATAATTTTTTTTTAGGTACAAACTGTCATACATGTTGTATTTAACAAAATTACTTAAAGCAATTGCTTTACAATTTTTTAATGCACTACCATAATGTGATTTACGAATTCCTTTGATGTGGTTTACGTTTTTATATTTTTAAATTAAATTAATTGAATATTAATCATGTTATTACAATGTAAGTTATTGGAAAAATAAATCATTAAAAAGCTGAAAATTTACGATATAGAAAGTTTATATAAAAATTTAAAATTTATGTTGAAAAATGCACTTATAGTTTCAATTTAATTTACGTCAATAATCTAGCCATTTCGAATTTCTAAGAATTTTTTTTCCAATTTTTCTATAAGTAATAGCATTAATTTACAGGGAATTTCAAAATTGATTTCTCCTATTAATGAAAAAGCGATAAAATTTTGTATTGTTCATCGAAAAAGAGAACAATTTTCGAAAATTTCAAATGATTCAAATCATACTTAATCGAACTACTTGCTCGAATTGTGTACTTGAATACTTTTAGAAAAATTTTTAAGTTTTTCGTACCTTTGATTTGAATTTCATATTTTTTTACTTTAGGAATTCAAAACCTTTATATTTGCAGTCAGGAAGTAACCACGAGGACGGATTTAAAAATTGCATGAAATTACTTTAACGATTCAGTAACAAGTGAGAGCTAACAACACTGTTATTAGCTCTGCATGACACGTATTTTCTTGAAGGCAGAATGTTAGCAAATATTAAAGGAAAAGAAAATCTTAACTTTTTGTTAGCTTTTGCTTACATTAAGTACTTATGGATTTTCACAAAATTTACCATAATATTATGTAGGTTCTTAGAGGATGGCCAATATTTTTATAACAATAACATTTTTAAAAACAAAATGTTATTTTGAATTTTTATTTGAAATGCAGCCGTACAGCATTCAGTAATTCATTGAATTTAATTATGAAAATCAATTTAACCTTCATAGCATCTGCTCTAGAATATTTAACGTTGCAAACCATTTGTTTTTTCAGAATGAGTAGTTTTTGTTAGTCTGTAAATAGAAAACCGTTTTGAAATTAAATTTTTGAGAAAAATCAAATCATATATATTTTAAAATCGCGAGTGCTATAAAATGTAACGTCTTATAAAAATATACCCATAAATTAGAATAAATGTACGTAATGGATTATGAAACAAGCCGGTTTTATATCTCCTCTGGAACGTAATGTGCTCTTAAAATTGTAGTAATGTGTACAAATATGAATTTGGAACTAGGTAACTCTGTAAAAGTCTGCATAATTGCATAATCACCCAAAAAAAAATCATTTATTTTTTGTGTCGTCATTTTTAATTGATTTTCAGTATGAATACAAGACTCGTGTTTTTTTTTTCTGCTGTTGTCCAGAATACCAAAAATAATTATGTAAAATCATTTGAAAAAAAAGAGAAATAAAATTATCGAATCCCTCATCAGGATTTTTAACAATTATTATTTTTTTACAAAAAAAAAGAAAAGACAAAATTTTTATGTTTTTGTCCTACATATTGTTAATTTTTTTGCATCCGTATAGTTAACAGAAACTAATAAAACACATTGAATACAAATTAAAATATTCCGGATCAAAAATCAACCATGACTTTTTTTTTTCAGTGTGCGTTTTTTTCAGTGTTCTTTTTTATTTTTTTTTTGAAGGACAAGTTCTGATGAGGCTTTTCACAATATTGTTTAGTAAAATGGTAAAGTTGGTGTTGTTGTTGTTGTCTACATTGTTCAATTCTGATGCATACATAATTGCTTTTACTATAATTTCTCGTATCTGAATCTACGATATGAAATGGTAATATTAAAGTTCCAAAATATATTGAATAATTGTTCACCCACCACCCTTCAAATTCTATATTGAAGACGAATTTCTTCTTTATAAATACATTAAAATACTTTCAATGAATCTTTAAATACATATATACATACACACATATGCGTAATTTTAAGTATAATCTAAAAATATAGTTATTATGGGTATACGTTTATATCTATAATATAGAAAGCCCTTTTGGTTTACCAGATTAAAGTAAAAAATTAAAAAAAAAAAAATAGAAGACGATACAAAAGCAAAATAATTTCTGCGGAAACACAAGAAAAATCTAAAACCTTTATTTTAAAAGGGGGTGCCAAAAAATATTCTATATAAAAATAATTGTAATATAAATTCATATTAGTATATATGTAAATATGTATATGACATGTATGTACATTTATTATATACTTTATTACATATTTACTTATTGTGTTCTTAATTTTATTGTGTAAAACGTGTGCCATGCATCATCCTCAAAATAAAAAAAAAAAAATTAAAAACAAAAATGAAAAGGAAGCACAGCAATCATCAAAAACCAACTCTTCAAACCAATACAAATTCGCATATTTATTAAAACATATATTCATGCACAAACACACACACAGTCGCACCACACGTTAATGACATACAATACGATTTATATGGGTCTATACTCTCTATACTACATAATATAAATTTTAGGCTAACTAATTCTTTAGTGGGTGAAATATCGAATTGAAATTATAAAAATAACGAGAAAAAAAATAGAGTTGACCTTGTCAACTCTGTGATACCCGTACGAATTTGTTATCCTATGTGCGAATAACTAATGTGCCATAACTAACTATGGGGCAGACTATGACTTTAAGTTGCCGTATTACCATATTAATTTATGCAAAATTTCAGTACTATGTGTTATTCAAAATACTGGTTGTGCCAAACTACTAATGATGTTGTATGGCAGCTACCAGAAAGAGCCAAGAAATTTTAGCGAATTTTATCAAGCACATCGGCCCTACTAATGTGAAACTTGTGTGAAAATCAATCTCACACAAGTTTCACATTAGTCTCTACTAATCTCACTTGTGTGAAATCTCAATATCACAGCTTTTATAGTTTCTGAGATATAGTCAAATAACTTTTGAAGTTGTATGGCAGGTACAAGAAGGAGCCAAGTAATTTCAACGACTTTTATGAGACACATTGGCCCTACTAATATATTCGTTTGTGTGAAATTTCAATACTATAGCTTTAATAGTTTCTGAAATATAGTCAAATAACTTTTGAAGTTGTATGGCAGGTACCAGAAGGAGCCAAGTAATTTCAACGACTTTTATGTGGCATATTGGCCCTACTAATATATTCACATGTGTGAAATCTCAATATCACAGCTTTTATAGTTTCTGAGATATAGCCAAATAACTTTTGAAGTTGTATGGCAGGTACCAGAAGGAGCCAAGTAATTTCAACGACTTTTATGGGGCATACTGGCCCTACTAATATATTCGTTTGTGTGAAATTTCAATACCATAACTTTTATAGTTTCTGAGATATAGCTAAATAAATTTTGAAGTTGTATGGCAACTACCCGAACCGGTAACCCGATCATGTCCAATTTAAATAGGGTTCTGGCACTTACTACAATAAATCATTTGTGAAAATTTGGTGAGTTTAGCTCAATTAGTTTTTGAGTTATCGTTCGGACGGACGGACGGACGGACGGACGGACAGACAAAGCTAAATCAACTCAGAATTTGACGCTGATCAAAAACATACACTTGAGTCTATATCTAACACCGTTATTTCTTAGCGTTACAAACGGTAAGGCAAATTTAGTATACCCTTCGAACATACGTTCGTACGGGTATAAAAATGTAAGGAAGGATAAAAAAGAACAAAACTTATTATTGAAAAAAGAAAAAATTGAATAATACCAAAATAAAACCATAAAAATCCTTGCTATAAAAATAGATTTTTTTTTTTTTATATTCCTGTTTTGTTTCTCATTTATTGTTATTTTATGTTTTTATTAAGAAGAGTGTATGGTGTATAATAAATCCACAGGACATCAGTTTTAAAAGTATTAAATTCCCGTATTATAATTAAAAAGAAAAAAAAATAAATACATACACTTAAATATTTTAAAAAAGATTTAGAGAGAACGTATATAGTGAAAAAATAGTAAGCCTTAAAGAAGGGGTTCAGACGATCGTTCAGTAGGAACGCTTCATTCTTTATTTGAAATCCGCGTTTTCTTCTATGAGTTGAACAAATTTTTCTATCAATTTTCTATAATAAAAAGAATGTGAAATTATAACATGTTCCTCATGTGGTATTGGATAAACTGGCTGCTTTAAATTTTTGAAAAAACACAAAATTAAAAGGGTTTCTTTTTTCTTAAACTGAACATATACAGAATTGTATTATAGTGGTACGTATTATAAATAAAAAGAAATATTAACCCCTATAAAAACTATGTACATTCACTAATTTTTTTTTAACAAATACGATTTAATATATTGGTATGTATTTTATAATTTATTTATACATATGTAAATATGTTACATGCTGTATAAAATGTGTAGTGTTGAAAAAATGCTCAGTGTCACATTAAATGTTCACGAAAACAAGGCATCCTGCTTATAATTCAAGCTATTTTTCGCGTGTTTCTATATTTTAGGAAAAATTTGAACTTGCAACAAATTTTCACAAGTTAATGAATTTTAATAAATCGTTAATATATTATTATATAAAAAGTACCAAATTTCATAAACTTACAGTAGACCTTGCATAACTTAAATTATTCAATATCCCTGTACTTTAATTATATCTATATTTAAAATAGGGAAGTCCAAATAAACAAAATCGAACATTTGATCAAATCGAAACGTTAAATCAAAAAGAAAATAAATTCTGTTTAAAGAGAATTTCAATTTATAAATGAGTTTTTCAAATCATCAGACAATTCGACTATCTTAATGAAAAAACGTCAATATAGCTTAATATTAGCTTTAATTCATAAAATTAAACGTTTGAACATTAGAATATGACACCATTGAAGATTGTAGATTTTTAACGGAACCGAGTGGGGCAAGAGGATCTTTCCGCGCCGCCGCAGCCATTCACGACTTATTGTAGGCTACCTGCACGCTCTTACATATGATTGCAAAGGGAGGACGATAACTGCCGTGCAAATTTGCATTCACAAAAAAATTTCGAAAATTCCTAATTTTTTGCATAGCAAAGGATCTGATGAAATTAGCGATTTTTTGATTTTTTAAGCAATTGGTCCAAAAATTTGTAAAATTTCAATTGTACAAAGAGTCGAAACATATTCCTGGTTTTGATATTCGCTCTTTATCGCACGTTTACCTTCAGCTTATTTATTATATAAAATGTTCAAAAATATTTTAAAAATTAAATAGCTACCATTTTTAAAATGACTTTAGTCTTTATACACATTCATAATTAAATCATTGTAATCATTAGGAATAATTAAAATCAATTGAATTTTATTAAAGAACCATAATATACTTAGCCAGCTATAAAATGATAAATTAGTCTTGAAAAACTTTTCGTTTTTGAGAACTTTCCATCTCTTTTTTATAATTTTAAAAATTAATTGGTTTTTATAAGAATTTTAAAATCGTTTCACATATCAAGGAAGTCCTTGAATTTTGTTGTGTTCGCACAAGACCATTATATAAATATTGTATTAAAAGCAAAATGATTTTAAAAATGTTTAAAATTTTTTCAGATTTTCTTGTTTTATTTTTCTTATGTTTTTCACTATTGTTGTTGCTAATGTACATAAAAAACATCAGTATTAGTTGTGACAACAACAACAATATTGAAGATTATTTTTTATTTTCAGATTGAGGCAATATTCATCCCCTTTCTTTTTATTAAAGCCCTTTAAAAATATTCAATGTTTTCATTTAAATTTTATTTCACCCCTTTTCCTGATTGTTTTTATGTACAGATATTGTGTACTGCGAACCATTCACTAGCGGTCAATGTAAATTTATAAAATTTTATTTATGGTGATGAAAAATTATTGTTGTTTTTTTTTGTCTTTTCTTTATTTTTATTTCGGATATTCTCTTGTGTTTGTTATTCATTTTTGTTCTTCAGTATTAATTTATTCACCAAAAAATTCTGTACTTAATTTGGTTTTGTTCAAATAAGAATATTTTTGGGATAAGCTTTAGTTATGCCAAATTTATGGTTCAATAATTTTGATTTTTTTCTCCCCTTATAACAAAAAAAAAAAACAAAAAAAAATTAAAAAAACGAGACAGGCTTTAAATTTCGTATATTACGGATATTTTGCTGTAAAAATAAGTATTATACTATTCTGTTCTACATATTATGAGCTTTTATAAATTAAAGTCATACAAAAACTTTACTTTTGTTTAATAATTATGTTTTATTTTCTTTATTTACAGCATCTCCAAATGGTTTACCAACTACGGTGCCTGGAAATGTTTTACCACCATCGGTTGTACCTCCACCACCACCTCCTCCACCAAATGCATCCCAATCAGAACCATTTTTATCACCGTCGAATGGTTCAACACCACCAATTCCAAATATATCATCACAATCAACTCTAATTCCTACAACACCACCAGGTTCAAATTCACATCATACGACACCATTAGGTTTAGTGCCATCACCACCATATACAATACCACAATTTCCATTTGGACCCGGTGCCCCACCATTAGGACATGTTGATCTTATACCTAAAAATCCTTTCTTCCCATACAATTTAACATCATTGCGAATGCATAGTATGAATGGATTACATACACGTATTCCATCTTTAGGTGGCAGTAATAATAATAATGAATCAAATACAGGTATTAATCCAGCTCATATATCACCTGCTTCATCAAGACCATCATCTTCAAGTCCGCCACCTACAACAGCGGCAACAATAACAACAGCAACTTCAAATCATAAATTAAATGCATCATTAGAAACAAGTTCAACACATGATCATTCATCAGTTGAAGATTCTGATGATGAACAAATTGATGTTGTTAAATCAGCATTTATACCAATTTTAAGACCAAATAAAATAATTAAAATTGAAGATTCTTGTGATAAATCAATGGATTCAACATTATCACCACAAAATAGTCCACAATCAAAACAAACTAGTCATAGTCCTTTATTACAAGTGCCGCCATCTGCACATCATCATCATCATCATCACAATCAACATCATCATTTATCTAATCATCCACATAATCATCATCATCCACATCATCAACATCAGCAGCATCATTCGCATAATCATCATCAGCAACAACAACTACAAAATCAAAATCATTTACATTCATTACAATCACAACTACAACAACAACAAGAACAATTGTCAAATAATGTTACAAAACAAAAATGTGAATTGAAAGCTCCATCAGCAATGAAACCAAATCTTCATGAACCGTCTAGTCAAAGGCAACAATCCAAATCTCCTGACACAACAAAATTGAAATCAGACATTGTACAACAAAAAACCGTTTGGAGACCATATTGAAGTAGAGGAATCGATTAATAAAACCTAAAAAACAAAACATAGAAAAAAAAACAAAAGTGAACACAGATAGAAAGCTTAAAAAGGAAAATAGTCTAACACAATAAAAACAAGAAGGAAAACCAAATAAACAATTTTGTTAAAAAAAACATACAAAAACTAAATTGAAAGCATATAACAAGTGACACAGGATCAGATTTTTATTGAGTCAAAGTGAGATAATAAGGCATACAAAAAATTAGAGAAAAAAGTTCAAAAAAACAACTAGAAAAAAAATTCCTTCTGCTAACAGAAATTCTTTTTATTGGGAATAAACTGGCTAAATCAAAGATTTGTACTTTGGACAAAGAGCAATTATAGGATTTCTTTGTTATTCTTCCTTTTATTATTCGCTTTTTTTTATTGTTGTTGTACTTATTGAACATTATATACGGACATATGTACAGCAACGGAGTAGCACCAATTTTTTTCTTTAGAAGTAATCCGAGAACATTTTATTGTTTCAATTGAATGGAATCGTCACAGAAAATGAAAAAATGGAAAATATTTGGATTAAATCGGTTTGCTTTATTTTTTCTTTTTAATTTCGAAAACAGTGCTAATTTCTTTATTTAATTGGTTAAAATTAAAGCTATATAAATTTAAATAATGTTAGTGGATAAAATTACCAATATAAAGTAATTTACATCACATAGAAGCACAGATGTAAAGAAAAAAATATTTAAAATAAAATTTTGCATTAAAAGTTGCATTGTTACAACATTTGAAATGAAAATTAATTTGAGATGAAAGGAAAATTATGATGATTGTGATAAAAATTCAAATAGAGGACTGGACTAATTTGGATCTTAAAAAAATTAATTAACCTAGTAATAGAGTCAAAAGAATCTTCCTATAATTAATTTGAATTTCATTATTAATTTTACTTTGAGAGTATTGGTATCTAAAATATAAATTGTAAATAATTGAAAAAAGAAATGTTAAATGAAGATTAAGCCACAATTCAGATTTAAAAACAGAATTGGATAGTTAGTTGGCGAATGGGGGGAAAATGAAGTAAAAAAAAAATTACTTTATGTTAAATTAATAATTGTGATAATAATTGTTAAGATTTATTAAAATTAAAAACTATATAATATAAAATCCCTTATATTTAAAAGAAAAATTAAAATAGTATAAATTTAGAAAAAAAAAAAATTGTGTAAAATTTTTATCAAATGTGCACAGCTACAATATAAACAGGCTTGATATTATGGGCAAAAAATGCACATTAATTATAGTGTAAATTGTAAAATATGAAATTTATGTAAATAAAATTTAGTATTTTAAATAATGTGTATAAAAAATAGTGTATAAGAAATAAGATAAATTTTTATGTACATAAAAATCAAATTTGTGAAAATAGCAAATAACACTCTTTTAAATGCGAATTATTCAAAATCTTAAGAAAATTGCTATCAATAACTTATTTTATAATGCAAATATTTAATACGAATTGAAGAACTACATATTGCATCCTAAGAATAACAGCGTCATAACGTTGAATGCAATAAAATTGAAGTTATGGGAAGAAAAAAGTTGCGTTTTAATTTGCGTTCTTTTTTTGAAGGCAAATTAGACTGATTAAAATTATATTAAAAAAATTTTGAAATTCAAATTCTTGAAATGTGACAATATTATTCTGGGGATGCAATTATGTATGTACGTATATGCAATTATAGATGTACGTATATAACATGTGTATGAGAAAATAAAAATACAAAATAATTTTCAACTTTCTTCAGTAATATTGAATTGAAGTATATATTGAAAGGTAAACAAGATTTTGTTTTAAAAATAAAGTGCGTACTAATTGAATTTCTTAATTTACCCTATAAATGTTTCATATAGACAAATGCAAGAAAGCAAATGCAATTTGTATTTTATTATATTTTTTCTTTAATTGGAAATTTTTATAAATAAAATTAATTCGCAACATAAATATAGCACAGTTTTGACTATTTATATATCGCGATAGCACTTCTTTTATTACACACATTCATTTAATAAAACAATTAATTAACGCTATCACAATTTTAATGCACTTAAAGTGATTGTACCTCGATCTAATAATCTTGATAATTTTAATAAGAGTCTTAATTAATTTAGTGCGAATACAAAATCAGAAGATACAAGGAAAACTGATTATTAACAAAAATTTTTGTTGATATTTAAACTGTACACAATCATAAATGTTTCTACACAATTTCAAATTCATTCAGCTATAGAGATTTTTTTGCTTTTGTGTTTGTTGATTTGTATTACTTGTAAGAACATTATTTACTTACTACTTACCTTCTGTGTAATTAATTATTTAAGAAATCATAAATATTATCCTAAAATTTCTTTTAAATTCTATTAAAAATTTACTTAAATATGTTTATCCATTTTATCTTACAATAGTTAAGCAGGCATTATTAAAAAAAAATTAAATCTATTATAATTGAAGAAAAATCTATTATACATATAAAAATTTAGATCACATTTATTTTAAGTTTATTATAGAAATGTAAATATAAATGAAGAATATATAGATAATGTTGTATTTTGTATTATAGAAAAAAAATAAAAGAATTAAGAGAAATAAGTATTAAATTATATAGAAAAAAATGATAAAACAAAAAAAAAAATTAAATAGAAAAAAAAAATTAAAAAAAAAATTACAGAAATAAAAAAGTCAATTTTTAAAAATAAAAATTTTTATGGTTTTGATTTAGAAGAAAAACGAATGAGTGTCCTTGCCATTTCTTAAACTTTTGATAATCCTGCTTTTTGCGATTCATAATGCTAAAATGCACAGTTTTCATGTGGCCAACACATCTAACTGAGATTTCTGAAGCCAAACTGAGTTGTAGTATATTATGAAACTATGAAGATGAAGCTAATTAAGCTTAGATTTGTTAATTGCAGATCAATGATAATAAAGTCAACAAAATTCTGAAAAATATTTAAATCAATAATAATACTAAGGAGCAGATTTACAAAAAAAGTAATACCGCCTGATCAGTATTCAAAACTTTGTGACTGGGTAGCATTAAGTTAGATCCCAGCATTTTAATATCGATAATTACTTAATATATTATGGATTTGCAAGAACTGGTTGAAACTTTATACAGTAGAAATTGAATATAAATTGTTATTTATAGATGAGTTTATTAGCACCAATAAGTTTAAAACGATTAACCAATAAATTTTAACCGAAACTTAACTTCAACAAATTATCTTTCAAATTAAAGAAAGTAATCTGTATTGGTTCTATATAAAAAAAATTGGTAATTCACGTTGAATATAGGTAGAATAAAAATAGTATAAGTTAATAATCAGCCATATTCTGTTAGTCGCGTCACTGACGTGATAAAATAAAGATAGACATGATAAAAAAGGTTGGTAGTATCAGCAGCTAGTATTTTTAGGTTGGTGGTATTAACAGCTGACATAATGTCACAAAAAAATTTAAGATTGAAAGAAGTGGAAAATATAAAAAAGAAACAGAGAAAAATTTAAAGCAATATTTAGCGATTTTTTGAATCTCTTGTAACTTCCCACAACATTTCAAAGATTTTTTTTATATATTTAAATATTAAAATTAAATATGTAATTTTTTTTAGATTTCCAAAATACTTCAAAATTTAAAAAAAAATTTTTAAAGTTTTACTAAAGAAATTGGAAAAACACCGATTATCAGCATAAAAATTAGTAGAGTAAGATTTTTACTATAATATTAGTTGGATAATAATTTTTGTAATTATTAACTTCGTCTATTTGGCCATTTTATTTTAACATCTGTGAATTAAACATGATAGTTAAGACAAAAAATATTGCTTTATGCAGAATTTTTCAATACTATCGAAATTTATAGTAAATGAATAATTTGGTTCTCTTTTACATCAAATTATTATCTGAACTAACAATCTGATAGAGTAAATTGTTTAATTTGTTCTAAAATTCGAAACCATTCAAGAAATTGTACACAACACATTTTACATACCAGGAACAAACAATTAAGCTGGTCATCTTGAACAAATCAAATTAGAAAAAACAAATTACATTAAATTGAACAAAAATATTAAATTCCTTTTGCAAATTCCAGTATATGTAGATGTTTTATGGCGTAAATATATGTATGCATTATTAAATAATCAGCTGATTAAGAGACAATTGATTTGTTTCTGTAAAATTTATACATTTTATTCATTCAATAATTATTGTCTACTTCTTCTTTTATGAACATTTCATAAATATTTTTCACAGAACATAATTTGCAAATTTTTTGGTTAAAATTTCAACCAATGAGCACATTATAATGCATGTTGATTTTAACCAACTCTATAATACTATCGAATACAATGTTCAACATTGTAACAAGAAAAAAAATGTAAAATTAAAATTCCAGTATGCAATAATAATAAAGGTCAGAAAAAATTTCATTAGTCCTGCTTTTATACATATAAGAAAATAACAATAAAAAAAGGGGGAAAAAAAATGCAAAAAAATTACATAGAAGCAATAATTAAAAAAAAAAAAATTTTTTATTTTCATTTGTTGTGAAACCCAAAAAAATTTTCATTAAAATCGAAATATAAACGTTATAAAAAGCGCTAAACCACCGCACTACAATCCCGTATATAATATTATTAAAATTGCCCTGAATTGAAACTCTTTTGCATGTATTGTTTAAGTAACATAGATTGTAGTCACATGTATGCACTTATTTGTTTACATATTGCTCAATTGTACATAAGATTTCAATACATAATTTGTATTATCGCTTCCAAAATTGTATAAAAATAAATTCGTATAAAAGAATAAATTATATTGTTATATTAGTTGCCAATAATTCATTCAAATATAACACTCTAAACGTATAATACAATAAATGTACAAAAACTTCTAATACCACCCGTTTATTCCGGTAGATAACTAAACACAGTTAGGTTAGAATCTTGAAATATATAAATTAGAAATATGCTTTCTATCCAGTTCCGTAAAGTCCTTCCTGTTCGGAATTTATGCTGCTCACAAAAATTTTTCAAAATACTCTTGGATGTTGGTCACTAGCACTGAATAATTTTAGATCCAATACGAATACAATTTTCAATTTCCTTCTTAGCCCTGTAAAATTCGGAAGCGAAATACAGGACGGTATACTAGAAATAAGTCATGTTATAAAATAATTCTATAGTTCTTTATACCTTAAAAATTAGATTTTCCAAATGAAGAGATAAGTGGACAAAGAGGTTAACTAACATTTTGACGAAATTTGAGCTTCTTATTTCATGCATCATTAAATTTCACATATTTTCAACTGTGATTACTCTTGTAGCTAGAAACTTAATAGAAAACGAAATTGACAGTGCTTATAGGAGAAAAGTAACAAAATTGATAGTTTTACAATTTTTTAATGAAAAAATGTGTCACAATGCTCTAACAATATAACTCTATATATACAACATGCATTGCTCCGGTAAAAGTCAAAATTAGCTTTATACTTATCAAAAACTTGATTTTGTCGTTTATCAAAATTTTCTTATATTTGTTCTTACTAACGTAATTAATATTTGGTTCTTCAAGCGTCCTTTCTAATACTATAAAGATTCCACGCACAACGAACCACTCATATAACGAGCTCCCTTATTTAACGAATTATTATTTGGACATCCGTTGGAACTATGAACCATTCGACAAATTTGCAGTATAATTTAATTTTCTATTTGCTATTGCTTCTCTATTACGAACAAAATATTTGGATTTAAATGGTTTTTAATGCGGTGGTTTTACTGTACTTTGCAAGCCCAAATATTTTGTACCCAAGGATAGGTATAATTGAATTTATCTCATGTAAACTAAACAATTAGAACTAAATGGTTCGACTGGACTGATAGACACAATCAAATTTTTAAACTTTCATTATAATAAATTTAAAAAAAATAAGGGAAATATAAAACAAGGAAAACAAAAGAAAAAAATAAATTTTCAAATAATTTTAACATCGGAAAAAAGGCATTACATCAAAATTGAAAATGAAAATCCTGTTCATTTGCAATTTTGTTTCATTTTATTTTTCCCAATTTTTTTTTATAAAACCAACTTTTATTTTATTTTCCCATATACATACTTATTTTATGCATTTATAACAAAAAAAAAAACTTTGTACATTTGTCGTTTATTTTAATTCTACTTTTTTTTTTATTTTATTGGTGCCTCTTTGAAATTACATGCTTCGAGTGGTAGTATAGTTGCGTATATTATGGGAGTTATTCTTTATGTGAAAAAATTTTCCATGTATATTCGACCATATAACAATCAAAACAATAACGTATTGCATTGATTTGGTTACCCTGAGAATGAGAGACTATAAATTTACTGGATGGCGATGATAATACATTAGTGCTGTGTGTCAACTATTAAAGGTCAATTTTGCACGTTGAATTTTAAATTTAGTATTATATTAAAACTCTAAAGGAATAAGATAAAAACAAAAGTTATTAAAATAATTCTGTTTAATAATGGGACTGTTTGTTTGTTGAGAAAGTATTCGGTAAAAATTTAAGTTTATTAGAAAATAAATTTTCTGACTAATTCATTTAAGTTTAAGATAATTTCACCAAGACAACTAATAAACTTCTCAAAACAATTAAATGCCTCTGACGATACAGTTCCGAATTTAGCTCTTAGATGCACTCTTAAAATTTTATTATTCTGCAGCGATAAGAATGCAAGATTAAATCTTACATTCAATCGACTAATGAGATTTTCGATCATTAGTCGATAATTTCCGCGAAAATTTCCGAAGAACACAATTTCTACGTTAGCCGAACTTTCGCTACGCATACAAAAGAATTTTTATCTATCTCAGCTGTGAATTAAATAAATTACGGTTTCCATGTGTACATATTTTATTTTATTCTTAAATGTATTTGTATATGCGTGGCCTAAGCCACTCAAAAGACAAGACCTGATTGGCTAATAAACTATCAAAACAAACGTCATTCAAAATCAACGAAAAGGGAAATTTAGCTTAAGTCTCGAAATCGTTCCCTGAAATTCATAACATTTTTTTTTTAAATTCTTAATTAATACAAAAAAAAAATCAATACAAAAGTATTAACACACAGATACAAAAATAAATAAAGTTGGGTCAAACCAATGGTTTGTATTGTAGCACTTTTCCCTTAAACAAGTGAAAATTCTGCTTTTAAGTACAGTCTATGTATACTTATCAAACTATTAAAATTATTTTCATTCATATACAAAACTATTTCTAGAA